GGTAGCAGTGGTGGTGAGGTTGGCCCAGGATCGAGCATTGTTTCGTTCTGCTGTGCATGGGGTCGCTATGAGTCGGCTCCGACTCAATGGCACCTGACAACAACAACATCATCCACTCACAGCGTCCCCTGGTGTAACAGAGGAGAACTGCCCCACAGGGTTTCCTAGGCTGTCATCTTTATGGAAGCAGATCTCCAAGTCTTTCTCCTGTGCAGCCGCTGCGTGGGTTTGAACCATAGATCTTTACGTTTGCAGCTATGTGCCTAAATGTTGCACCACCAGGGCCCCTTGATATTTTTAGAGATAGTGTGGACTACAAAATTGGTTTGAGCTGCAAGGTCGGCGGTTCAAGCTCACCAGATGTTCCTAGGAAACCCTATACAGGGTCGCTATGGATCAGAACTGACTGGATGCACTTACCAGCAACATTGCCAGCGTAGTAATGCCCCGCATTGTGGATTAATTACTTAGCATTTAATTTACCGTCAACATCCTGACTCTCCGATCATCTTCCTCTGGGTTTCGGTGTACCTGCCATTTCCCAAAGGGAGTAAGCACCAGCTTTATGAAGAGTCTGGTTGGAAAGCCTGAGGCCACCAGGAAGTCTGAGATGGGGTATTGAAACTTGGGTCCTTGTTTGTGACAAGCCCTGGTGGCGCACGGTTCAGCACTCGACTGCTGAAAGGCTGATGGTTCGAAGCTACCAGTAGAGTAAAAAATGTTACTTCAATTTGAAAATTGTATATTGAACCAATTTCTATGACTATATTAATCCTATTTTGCGCTCACACATCCCAGTAAGATTTTTTTTTTTTTTTCCGATTTATTCATGAACTGGATTGGGTACCTGCCAAGTGAGACACCTCAGCTGGACATATTTGAGGTCCACAGAGACAGGGAATAGGTTTCCGGGCAATAATGAATGAGTGGACAAATGAGTCGACAAGAGTCGCGTCTCTGAGGCACCCGATTGGACGCCCGGGGAATCAGAGCTAGATTTCCGAGTCGGCTTCGGAGTTCCTGGAAGAGCTTACAAGGTGACAACAACGAAAAAACAATCACTGAAGAATAAAGCGAATACTTTGGCTAATCGTGTCCTTCTTCGGCTTCCGTCGCGGTCCCGCCCGGACCTATTTTTCCGTAGCCGGCAGTGACGTCAGGCGGGCGGGACGTGGCTTCCGGGCGGGCGGTGCGCGCGGGATTTGGAGTGTGGACCCAGGCGGCAGCATGAGCCTGTGGGTGGACCGGTACCGGCCGAGCTCGCTGGGCCGCCTGGACTATCACAAGGAGCAGGCGGCCCAGCTGCGCAACCTGGTAAGCGGGCGGGGTCCGAGGGAAATTTAGGCACGGGGAGCCATGACGCCCTCGTTCCCCTGAGGGGAGGTGTGTCCCGGAGCCGCCGCTGGCGAGCTCGTCCGGACCTACTGTCCAATCTGGCGGCGCCGGGTCGGCGCACAGGAAGGCAGGCTCAGCGCTGGGTTACGAAGTGGCCATCTGGGGGCCGGGCTGTGCTAAGTGCCGTGTAAGGGGCCTTTGTTTTATCTAGAGGCATCCCGGCCGTTCCCACCCCGTAGGCCAGGGTAGAGCTGACCCATAGGGCTTCCTAGACTGTGTGATCCTCACGGGAGCAGGTCGCCAGGCCTTTCTTCCGCCGAGCAGCCGATGTTCCAATGCTGTGCCCATCGCACTGCGACCCTGGGGTACAGTGTACAGCTGTAGGGTTCCCAGGGCCGGCGCCTCAGACTCGAGGGCTGCTGCGCTCCCCGAGGAGAGCCCCTCTGCCCGGCTGGGGCCCTGTGAGTTGGAGCGGCCCGGAGGGCAGTGGGTTCAAGTCACCGCTCGCAGCACCGTGCCTGGTGAAGCGTCAGCCACCCGGGGCGCCTGTCCCAGCACAGCGACAAACCCCCCAGCCCCCCGCGAGCCCCCGATCGTAGCTTGCAGGTGCCGGTTTCCCCGGAGGGTTGCAGCTTCTGACTCCAGAGCCCCCTGAAAGGCCCTGAGTAACATGGGAATTGGGGGGTGGGGGGGTGGACACTGGCTCTGTAAGTTGCCCAGGAACAAGCCCCAGATGGCCAGCGACGCGCTTGCTAACACACGCTCATTAGACTCGTGTTAGAGCTGGCACTAATGTACGCGAACACACGCTTGGTAACACACTGCTAACACTCTGGTTGGCTGCTGCCCTATGGAGGTGTCTTGCTATCTCCCCATTGGCCTCCGGGACTCGAGCTGACGTCAGAGGGCGGTGCTAGGAGCCTAGCAATGGATGGGACAGTTTCCCACAAAGGTGGTGGTGATTTTGAACTGCCAACCTTGCAGTTAGCCCTTGCAGGGCTATCCTACAGTGTCACACCAGGACTCTGTACGGCATATTGTTGTGAAGTGCTGTTGAGTGGGTTCCGACTCATTGCGACCCTGTTTCCAAGGAGAGGCTGGTGAGTTTCAACTGCCAACCTTGTGGCTCAAATTGGCCTTGTGGTCCAGTCCACACCAGGACAAATGTTTGATGTGGGAAAAGTAGTTCACTCACAGTTGTGGTCTTGAGGACACAATGGCCAGTTGGCATAGCATGGTCCATAAACACAATGTTCTTCACCCTGTTTTTGTAAGTCATGACTGGGGTCATGCAAGCTGGTGAGCAGCCATCTGAGGTACAACTCTGGGTCTGTCCCTGTGCAGAAGAAAGAAGAGTGAAGCAAAATTTAAAACCCATGGAAGAGTCACTCTCTGAGACCATGTGAGCGTCAGCTGCCTCCACCGGAACTAGATGGTACCTGGCTGCTACTGCCTGCCACTCTGAAAAGAAATCACAGTGCAGGGTCTGGGATACAGTAGGAGAAAAGGGTGGAAAAAAACTCAAAAGTCTCAAAAAGAGTCACATGTACTGTTTGGATGCAAACTGGTGGAACCCAGGACTGTGGTCCTCAGTCACTGTGCAGGTCGGGAATGGAACTCATCCCTGTGGCTTGGTTTTCAGCCAAACAATAGACAGGTCTGTGAGGGGAACATACCTTAGAATAATCAAACAGTTGAGATCAAAAGGGCAGCATTTACTCCAGGACAGAAGGTTGAGGAAAGGAAACAGGAGAGACAGGGAGGAAGTGGAATGAGTGATGTTACACTAGGATTATGTCAGGGAACAGAAGAAAATGTCTGGACAGTTGGACAAAAAGCGGATGTACTCTAACCCTGCACCCTGAGAGCAATTCAGTGTGACTACATACAAATAAATGAGCCCTGGTGGCACAGTGGTTAAGCACTTGGCTGTGAACCAAAAGTTCAAGGGTTCAACCCACCCACATGGCTACTTGGGAGAAAAGGCCTGGTGTTCGCCTGTAAAGATGACAATCTGGGAAACCCTCTGGGACAGTTCTCTGTCACACAGGGGTGCTGTCAGTGAATGATATAGAAGAGTATATACGAGTATATATGGGAGTCCTGGTGTGGTGCTGTGGGTTAATGCGCCAGACTGCAAAGCTGTTTAAACTGCAAGGTTTGCAGTTCAAGCTCACCAGTTGCTCCTCGGAAACCCTGTACAGGGTTGCTATGGGTCGGAACCAACTCAACCACAACAAGTATACAGTGACACAATAGATGACAGCCTAGGAAACCCTGTGGGGCAGTTCTCTGTTACACCAGGGGACACTGAGTGGATGATCTATAAGAGTATATACAA